TCAGTCACAAGAACGTCGAATCTGAATCACTTGAAAAAAACACGAGGGTGCTTAACTTTTTTCCAGGTGTATATTAGACAACTAGTTAAGTAGAACATAGAAAATAAACTACAAGTGTTATGCGTACCTTGAAGGGACATATTGCCAGAAACTGCAGACAAAGGCCTGTACAGAAAAAGATATTCTCTCAAAGAATACTAGAAAGAAACTGTTATAGATGGGGCTAACCTGGCCATTACAACCAAGACTGTAAGCAATCAACAGCTTTTATGAAGTCATAGACACAGCCCAACCAAATCCAAAGAACAACACAGATTTAATTAGATGTTGTGAAATAGTTGGATTTATGAGGCAAAGTTCAGCTGGAAATACTCCATCTATCCCAAATGAGAAAAAAATTGAATTTTGAATGTAAATCAGTAACGTGCACAGAATGGAGTTTAAAAAGTACATCTTGTTTAAAGGGTTAAAGAACAGCGCATATTAGGAGCCACCTTCATGCAGACACATGGATATGAGGTTAGTTTAGCCTCAAATAACTTCACAGTCTATGACCAGAAGATCAATTTGTGCTACATGTGATTACTTCACCAAAAGCTGGACTTCCAGTGAAAACAGGGACATTGGTCATTGCACCATGAAGTGAAATACTCATATTAGAAGCTATTAGCAACATTTCTGCATCTAGTGACTGGATCATAGTGGAACCAATTACTCTGGCATTTTCTGAAAAATTGGAGTTGAAGAGCTTTCATAGATGTTAAAAATAAAGATTTCATACATGACTTTACCCAGGGAAGACTGAAATCAGCTTGTGATAAAAGAAAAGACTGTTATGATGTAAGTGGTGATAAAATTAAATTATATTGAGGTAGTATGTCACAGCTGATAAGATCTGGTAAGAGAGGACAAATTCTGAGGTTAAGTAGGTGTTTGGAGGATAGGCAATCCAAGCCAAAGTCATCCACCTTCGGAAGTACATCAGTGAGAGAACATCCAGCTGGGTAAGTCCAGAGAAGATTTTGTCAGTGGAACCTCAACCTGCAGAAGTTGCAAGTGGATTCACTCAATTATGTACCCAGGAAAAATGCTCCTAGTGACAAGATGGCCAGTGACAACAAGGAATAGGACGCCATTCTATCTGTGAGAAAACTACCTATAAAACTTGGTGAATAGACACTTTAGTGTTTTATTGTATTTTGTATTAGTGTTGTTTAAGGACTTCAAAATGCAGGAAGTGGACAGTGTTGTAAACTAGAAGGAGCTGCATATTGTAAAGATGACATTAAACCTGGAAAGTTCTAAGGATTTGATCTTAGGCTTTCTAGTACATTTTAGGGTAGATTATAAATATGGTGTCAGTGAAGTATCAAGAAGTTAGTTGTTGGATAGTTAAGAAGTTAGTAGAGCAAATATATCAGTGTTGTGTTTGTTTTTCAGCCATTAAGTGGTACAATTAAGTTTATTCTTTGTTATTGTAGTGCAGTTATTGTCATTTGTAAATGTATATCTACATCAAGGCACAGCAGTTTACAGGTGTTCATATTAATTTGCAATTGTTTACACAGACTGGATTTTGAACGATTTTTACCAGATAATCTAAAATAATCTGCCAATGAAAGAATAACATTACAACAATATGATGACTTAAGTACCTCTGTAGTGATCAGTGTACTGATTATTTATTATAATTAAAAAAAATCATAGATATGTCACATTACATTTCATAATATCAACTACTGACTGATAGCTTTAGGACAAATGTTTGATAAGAGGCAGCTCATGATTCCAAAGTGCTGTGTTTCCATGATTAATAACTTTTTCTTACTTATACACATTATTAATGGATTCTTAGAGTTACTCATCTCCTTAGTAGAAAATAATTGCAAGAAAGTATTGAAAATAGTGTGCAAGTTTTCTTCAGCAAGGTGTTTTACATGGGTTATAAAACCTATAACATCCTCTTTCTAATATGTTATATCCTTTAAGGTGTGTAAAATTTTAGAATTCCTTCCAGATTTTTCATCATACCTTTGACCTGGTCTAGGAGGAAATCAATTTTTAACTAACCTTAACTGAATTATGGTCTCTTAAACATTTTTTTTTAATTATCATGGAATAAGAGGTTTATGTTGGCCAAACGTGTCTGAGGTGTGAGGTCAACCGTTTATGATAAGAAAACAGGTAGCATGTAAATTTACTACAACTTACACAACATCACAGTGACTGCATGTGTTTCAGCCATAAGCAGTAACAAACAACAGGTACGAAAGTCACAGAATTCTTAATGCATGGTATCCCATGTACATACTGAAATGTTAAGGTCCAACCTTTTATATAACTGACATGAGTTAAAGCTTTTTAACCTAACTCAGATATTACATTTAGTTGTTTGTCAGCTTTCTATATATATCTCAATCTGAAACACATGATTATTGAATTCATGCCTGTGTTATTCCTTATTCCACAGAAAGTAATGCTGTATGTAACAGCTATCATATTAAAGATACTTCACCATTCTAATGTACTTTACATATATTTTCCCCTGGAAGTTAATAACTTTACGTCACTCTTACATTTGCACTTACAATAAAAATTTAGTGGAGGACTCAAGGTCGTAATATAAAAGAATGTTATAAAGACTAAAGAATAATATAAAATTCTGATGTTTAGAAAGTATTGATGGTATTATCTTTAATTTTTAAAGCCATGACTGAACTAAGAACATTCTTAGTGCTGTTGTGATTTTATGATTTTAAGAAACTTTGCAGACAATTAAATTTTAGACTTGAAACACCTTTTCAAACTATTGAATAACTACCATAACCCATTTATAGAAAATATTAAATGGAAAATGTAAATAAAAAATATGCTAATGAATAACAGAAAAGAAATTGTATTCAGAATAACTACACAAAACAAACTATTTAAATTTTCTAACAATGACCAAAAGATAGAACTTTCCATTGTATTGTGTATGTGGTGAAAAATAACATGACATATATAGTTTTTAAAGCACAGATTTTACCCTTTATCATATCCACCCATATATTTATGCAAACTAGACATCTCGTATCATACACTTACACCAGTTACAGTATTGGGAAAAAGCCCTTCCATGGATGATAAAGGGTTACATTTCTTGTTTCTATCATTAAAAGTATACTGTTCCATAAAACTTTTAAAAGAATATTAACATACATAGCTATGATTCTATTTCATGTATGGCTGACAGTGATAAACACTGAATAGAAATGAAATTATCATTACTATTTCTTTACTGTCTTTTAATCTGTCTTACATGCATTTTGCTAGTCTTTCATTCATTTGCTTTCTTATGAATGATTTTGTATTTTAGAATAAAAAAAAGTAAGTGATAGTGTGGCTTCAACAATTATTCATATTCATTCCAACTATTTGTTTGTAGTAAGTATAAGTACAAACAAATATATCAAGAAGCATGTCAGTTTCAAAAGCTTACTGAATGTAAGTTGTATGATTTTGATTCTTCTAGCATCTGGTATGTTAAATTATTTAGCTATTTTTTTCCCCCCTTAATTTATGAGTTTAAAGGAAAAGGGAAACAGTGGAATATATTGTATATTTAGATTATGTGGATATTCTTTCAAAGCCTAATTATGTTATGCTGTTCTCAAGTTGCTGGAAATGAAAGGTCATTCTGAGCACCTTCATAGAAAGGTGTGAAGACACATAGTGTAAAGGAGAACAATTCTTACTCAAATGTTACAGTTGGTATTTTTATTATTTATCTTACAGTGATTTCATGAATACCAAAGTGAAAACTAAGGGGCATTGAGGCTTATTTACTTTATTCTTAGGGTCTTATTTTTAATAGAATTATTATTGTATGGAAGACTTAAAATAAAACTCATTTGATTCAGTTTTTCAAGGATGAGGTAAACCTAATAAAAAAAAAAAAATAAATAAATTGATATGAGCTTAAATATTGTCTAGAAATTCAAACCAGTATCCAGATTTTCACAACTTGGTTCTGAGTCATCTGTGAACAACTGTCTTGAAAGCGGAATTAAATATTTTGAAGAAAAATATATGTCTTGCTCCATCTTAGAAAACAGGAGATAGAGAAAAACTAATCAATTATAATAATATTCAGTTTTTTCTTTCCTGAAAATGCACACACACACCTTACTATCTAAATGTGCATGTGTACACACTTTATTTCAACAGATGTAAACAAAAGATGGATGTAATTATACTTTAGTAGACATTTTTTCAACATCATATTAAAAGCTTCTCAAAGTTTTCAAAAAAAGTCTAACATCAGGTCTTGGAATAACTTTAAGTTTATTTATTGATAGTATTAAGTACAGTAAAGTTCAGCCCTAACTGAAATAAAGCAAAAATATACACAAGTTAGAGTGTTAATTTATCTCTATCGAATATAGGTTCTAGTTAATAAAGGCTTAACCAATGTTAGGCCTAAGATAAATAGACTTCTAAATTTCAGTACCTGTGATTAGAATTCTTTTGTGTTATTCTAAAAATCTTGTATATAAAGAAGTACTGTTGCAATAAAGATACTAACTTGACCACATGTTTTGTTGGTCTCTACTAGTCAGTAAGTATTGTTTGCTAATTCTTTTTGAAATGTAACCTTTTCCAGCATTTGTTGGTTTTGTGTAAATCATGTGTTAATGGATCACAGTATTAATCTGGTATACTCATGACACCCAAAATGACATTAATTATGATGGGTACTAAAGCATGTGCATTCAGTTTTATTAATTTAGCAGTTATTCTAGTATTATACATACTATAGGTTTATGTACAGCTTAAAAACGCTTATGCTCTTTGATGTAATACATTAGATAATTTTATAAGAATGTTTACTTCCATGGGAATTCAGTGGAGGGAAACCTGAAATTTGAATCCAGTTGTCACATAGACAGCTAGTTTTTGTATGGAATGGGGTAGTGTGGTGATGGTGACTAGTGTAATGTTAATTATGTGAATATGTACATATATCAAGCTTATTCCTTTTGAGTGATAAATTTAGTGTTTATTAATGTATGACTTCACCTTGACAGTTGGTATTGTTTTTTCAATACTGTTTTATTGCTTGAGTTTGTTATGAACAGGAATATTTGCTGCTCAATCTACTGTTATTTTAAATTGGAAATAAAGAAAGATTATTCCTGACTTGTGTTGGATGGTGTTTTATTGTTTCCAGGTGTCCAGTCATTGCGAGCTTTGCTGGCACGTGATAAAGATGAAGATTCACCAAAGCTTCACACACTTCTGTGTGAGGCTTTTTTTGCTGTGTATCTGAGTTTGCTGGTTTATGGGATAGCTACATGTGACGGCCAAATTCTCTATCGACTGGTGGGACAGAATCTCTCAGAAAAGACGTGGGCTATGCTGTATGGTGGTGGTGCAAAACGACTGCTGCATGTTGTTACTGGTGGCCAACATCCTCTAAGCAGTAGTTCAGAGAGTAAGTGAACAACTGACATATCACTCATGCAAATGTATAAGTCATTTAAATTAACTTGTTTTTCTGTTCTGAAGGCTGAGCAAATTCTTAAAATTAAAAGTTTTCTTCAGTGTGGCATTTTGAGTATTAATTGTTTCCGACTTTTTGTTTTGAATTCAGTGATCCTGTTTCTTCATAATAAACCTGCAAAATGGTTCCTTGTTCTATAGATGGGATTTGACATTTTTTTTTGTTTATGAGCCTAAATAAACCAATCACATAAATGATTGCAACACTGCATATGATTTATAAAAAGAAAAATTATATTCAAAATGGAATAATTTTGAATATACATCTTTAGCATGAGTTCATTAAAATAACTTGAATTTAGCCCTAAATTCTGAACTATTGTAACTTTAAAATTTGAAACATTTGTAAGTAGTATGAACTTTTCACCTCATAACCATCATATGAAATCTCATTTAACTAAGATAAGGGTCTAGCAGGCTTTTGTAAGACTTGTAACTGATTTTTTTCATTGAAATATATGGTTGACATGAAAGGCATCCTTGAGATACTTGAAGTATATTTATAAACAGTTATATTAAAAAAAAAGTAATGGTAATTCCATATGTTATTGGTACCATATATGAATGTTGATTGTAATGTGATTATATTTGTTTTCCAGAGAGTACACCAGGAGAGGAAGGTTTACTAATCACACTTTCTAAGCAGCGGATGAAGCTTCATAGGAAATTACTTGGACAACTTGGTCAAAGCACAGCTCAGAAAACTATGAAAGAAGATCGGCCAACTTACCGAGAACAGTTTGTTCCTCCAGAGATGTCCATGGTGTCTTATTTAATGTCTAAGGTAGAAGCAAATGTTACTTTTTCAAGTTTTAAGATCCTTAATATCATTCAAAGTAGAAATAAGACAAGTTAATATGCTAACAGCAAATTATTTTAAGCATCTCTGAGATTACTTAGTTTGATCGTAAAGTATAATTAAAAACTTGTATTAATAGGTGGATTTAGGTGCAAAGCTATATCTCAAATCCAGGAAACATTACATCTGTTTTGCACATTTCTGTGCAAGGATTTTTCTGGTTAAGTTTTGTATCTCTTTCTTTATAAACTTCTTATTGATATGATTGGATGCTAAAGGTTATTAATTTTATTCACTCACCTAGGTGACTCCTTCCTGTTAGTTGTAGTAAGACCAGTTTTGTTGTTTGTTCTATTCCACCTGAATTTTCAGTAAATCAGGTCCATTATTTGAGCAATTCAATAACCCTCTTAATATGGGTTGGTAAAAGTGCATGTCACAACCTTTTACATAGTTACATTCAAAATTTAATTATATTACTTTATCATCAATGTGTAAAAATAACTTGGCATTATAATATCAATTTCTTAATTTCAAAAGTAAATATTTAAATATGTTCTCAGCCTTCCCTTGTTTGTGTAACATCATGTTTATGACTTGCCCATTTTCTATTTTTTCAACACCCCTGTGTTGTTTTGAATTTGATGTAAATTATTCATTGTAATATAGGTATTACTAAAACATATTCTAATTTTTATTGCCTTCAATTTTTTTGGTTACAGGGATAAAAACCAGAATGTCTAATCCTCTTACTACATCTTCCTATCACATCCTCATTTTCACAAATTGATAGTAATTCTCTGACATTTTCTATTGATTTAATTTACCAAATGACGTATAATATTACCTTGTTCTCAGTAGAGATTTGTAGTTATTTAACCTGCAGATTGAAAGTTGAGGTCAGATAAAACAGCTAAGAGAATTATTTTAAGGCACTTATGCCTTAGTTACAAAGCCAATTAAAAAATATCAAAGTTTCAGGACATTGTTTGCTTTGTGCCTGTTATTATTTTTTGTTCTAAAGTACATATTTGAAATAAGTATAAACTATTTGATGTACTAGTACCAATATTACAAAAAAAAAGTAGGCTAAAGTTTCGTTAGAAGGCTGACAGCAAAAAAATCAGAAAGGCCATATTTCAGTATTGAATTTCTTCTTTTTCATGTATATATTTTATTTAATGTTATAAAAGTAACTAGAATGAGAAAATTAGAAATTTATTAGGTTAGATAATGAAAAAATTAAGATTCTTCACGAGGTATACTCACAAGTAGATTGTGTGTTAAGTCATTCAGTACTGTAAATTTAACTATGCATTCACTGTGTGATATACAGCTTGTATAGTGAGATTATTAGTTAGATATGGTACAAAGAGCAATAAAACAATAAAATATAATAAAAACAGATGTAAGTTGTTACAAATATTAAGCTGTGTAGGGTTAATAATCATAATTTTCTGTTTTTACAATCTGCAGTCATTACAGAAATTAAAAGGGTAGTTTAGAATTATTTCACTTTGTTTGTGATGAATTAACTGACTGCATGTAGATTTAGGATAGAGAAAATAACAGACAAAATATAAAGTTTTACTGGAAAAATTAATATAGGAGGTTTTAAAGGTTATGCAAAGGAAATTTGAAATCTAAGATGAAAATATTTTAAATCCTAACATGAAAATCACCTTATACTTGGACCAATCAGAGTCTAATTCACACTATGACTCCATAATTAACAAAAAAAATCTTTAATAAAAATACATAATTAAAAAATTGATTTTTTTTGTGAACAAAAGATTTAATGTTTACTGAAAGTTTACCAAATCTCCTGAAGATACACTTACTTCATTAAATGTTATAATATGTATAGTTACATGGTGGTTGCGATGTTGGTAAAAGTGACTGAGCCCATATAGAGAGAGTTAATAGGTGTTTTGAAATTTATTAGTTATTTTTGCTAGTTAAAATTAGGAATTGCTTAATATTTAGTAAAGTGAATTGTTCCATTATTAAAGACTGAAATAGAAATACAACTTGTATTAAACTAATTGACAAAATTACAAATCTATTGTTTGTTAAATGAAATTCAATTATTTTTCATGTATTGACCTAATTTACATGTATTAATTTAAAAAAATCAAGTTTATAATGTAGGTTGCTTACTTTTTTATTCTTTTTTTCATTCTGGACAATCTATACCTTTAAACAGGTCATTTTAAGTATTGCAAGATGTAATTTTTTGCTTCTTTTCTTGTTTGAAATACATAGAATTGTTACATATTAAGAAAAATCATACAACTGCTTTCAGCAGATCATAGGACTGTCAATTTGCAATGGTTTTAAGTCACCCAGTCTCTCTCTGATGATGCAGTTAGTTTTTTCTGAATTACCACCCACTAATTTTTTCTCAGTGTTTTAGTTATCACAATTTTTTTATCACACAAATACTTCACAAACCTTCATGAAAAATAAATTAAAAATTTTATTATTAATTGTTTTTCTTTCCTTTCAGCCTGAATTATCTGAACAAAATCAAGCTATAGATTATGATTCCAGTGAATCAGTCCCAAGTGATGTGGATGAGGAAGAAGAAGATGAAGTTGATGCTGATGATGTGTTTAGTGACTTCAGTGAAAATACAAAAGATGCCAAAATCCATTCCAAAAAGACAGTTGAAACATCAAAAATAGATGAGCTTGACCCTGATTCCTATTCCTGGGGTATTCTGCGTTACGCTGTTGTGAAATTGGTACATTGTCATGTGCTGACTTTTCTTGGTATTGCTGGGATTGACTTACAAGGTTGGTGATTTTAAAGCAGTGTATTTAATTATTGTATGCATAAATAAGGATTATTTTGTAATGAAAACTTCAGTTTTACTGTTAAGGCTTATAGGTGCCACGGTATTAGAATCTATTTTTTCACAATAATGCACAAATTTTTGCTGAGTATGTAACAGATGTAGTAATGTAATGTTAAGTGGAATTTTGAACTTCATGATTAAAAGTAGCAATATTTTATTCCTGCTTTCAACTGTTAAAGGGAGATGTGTTTAGACCTGGTTGATTTTCTGCTCGTTTAGCCAAAGTTTTCACCCCTGTGCTAAGATAACTTTTTCAAGGTTTTTATTCTGCTATCCCATTGTTTTTTAGACACTTATTTTCAAGGATGAAAGCTTTTTAATATCTCTTCTAGAACTCCCTGTGTCTAGTCCTATGATTCATTCCATATTGAAAACACTGGAGCTGTGGTTGTATCAACTCAAAACTCACATGGAATCTTACCATAGTCCTCCACCTAATTATCTACCTGGCTGTTTTGTAGAAAGTATCCAAAGTGGTCCAGCTATTCATAAATATAAGGCTCTACATGAACTACATAATACACCTTTCAGGTCAGAGGTTCACAATTATCATGAATATTTTATGTTCAAAAAATTTAATTTGTGGTATCTGATAGAAAAAATAAATTATATTCTTGTAGAATGTCTATCAAGTGGAACTCATTATTTGAACTTAGAAAGAAAGAAATTTTTTTTATATAGCTCTTCTTCTTTTCCTCAGATCACATAGTGCAGCTGTTCGTCCTGTCAAAAGACTATGGAATTTTTTAGTCCGTCAAGAACCCGTTCAAGACATTTTTATCCGTTATATTTTTTCTAGAAGACATGCACATGTTAAGGAGGTACCATCAAAGCTCTATCTAAATAAAACCTTAATTATTAAATGCATTATCATCTCTACACATATGCTTGATATGAGTTAACTAAAATTCAGTTTAGAAAGGAAAGTTGTAATTTAAATATGAAGTTATATCAAACTTTTAAATAAAAATATTCTGTATAGTTATGTAAAACTAATTAGATACTTTTTTTTGTTAGTTAATATTTTGCTGACAAATTTCTGTTTATAAATGTTTAGGAAATTTTGAAACTTCTTAATTATTATAGTTTCTCTTTTAAATACTCTGTATTTTAAAGTATTGGATACACATAACTTCCGAAATGGTCTCACCCCCTTGCTAAGAATTTTCTGTTTTCTGAATTCTAATATGTTCATATGGATTTGAGATTTAATGTGGTGGATGATGAACTTTTTGTGACAGTAGACAATGGTTTTGATAAGAGTCCCCAGGTCTCAGAGTTGATGATGTCTGCTGGGGAAGTACAGCTTTAGTTTGCAGGGAGTTTGTCTTACACTTGGCAGACGATTTCTTCCTTTCACATTACAATTTTTTTTGAGGAAGGATAACTACTGAATGGAAATTTCTTTCTACTATGCCTTCCACCTGTTACCATGCCTCTATGTAATCTCCTGGCTTAGATAGTTCTTTTTCCCAGGACATTTGGGGATTAGATATGAGCCAAAATTTGTTATTGTTAACTGGATGCCTTTTTACTCTCATGTTCTTTAGAGTAGGTTTTACTTTTGTGTCCTTTGTCTTATTGGTTCTTTGAGTAGAATTATAAGTTTGATATTTGTGTTATTTATCTTAAGGTCCTTTTGTGGTTTTGTACTTTAGGTGTTGCTTAGTGTTTTATTTTAGGTCGAATTTCATAGTTTTGCAGGTTCATTGTTTTTATATACTTTCCTAGGTTTTGTTAGTTTTTTAGAAATGAATATTTAATTTAAATGTCTTTTTTTCATGACAGTTCTGTGGGTTCTATCTGAAGGTTTCTGCCTTCAGTTACACTCCCCTCCCCCATTCACTTTTCAGATCTCCTTCCCTCCTCCTCGGGATCATGGTTTTTCCAGTCGTCTTGTCTAGTTTATTGAAGATCTACTACACAAAGGGGCTGTCGATTGGGTAGTACCCAACTCAACCTGGGTTTTACTCCAGGGAGATTGGAGGCGCATTATAGACCTGTCATGGTTGAACTCTTATCTGGAGCCACCTTGGTTCACCATGAAGTCCTACCTCTCATTTCAGGAGTTTTTTTGGGGGCTTTCTTCAGCTCTGTGCATTTTGTCGAGTGGTTAGCTTTTGTCAGTCAATCATGCCTACTTACTTCTTTGGGAAGCTAATTGGGTTGTGTTTTTTTTATCCAATTGGAGAGGTCCATTCTTAACCCCACTCAATACCTTCTCCTTTGCTCACTGCAGGAGGGGTTCTCTCTCTCTTTTGGGAATGTGAGCTTACTTGGAAGCTCTCATTCCCCTGGGTTGAGCTCACATGTGTTCCCTTCAGTTGAAACTTCTCCCATGATCCCTTGGACCACCCCATTACCTTTCTGACCTTGCTTGGTGACTTGACAGGGAACCAACCACGGTGAGGGCTCCTATTCCTCCTCCTTGACTGGAGACTCATCTGTTTACTGATGCTTCCTTGGTGGGTTGGAGGCTTTCCTTGATTCTGAAGAAATTTCCAGTTGATGGTCTGTCGAGGAGACTACTCTTCAACATCATTTTCAAATTTTGGCAGTTTGTCTGGCTCCCTATCATTTCTTCCTGCTCCTAATGGGGGGTGGGTGGTTATAGTTCATTTCAATTATTCTACTGTTGTCACATCACTAAGCAAGGGGAACCAAATCTAGATCTCTGTGTTTTAAGACTCTGGATCTTCTTTACTGGGCCCACGACCACTGCATGGTGACCTTGGTGTGTTATGTGCCTGGCATTATGAATCTGGAGTGTTCCCTTCTTCCACGGATATTCTGGTGGGTGTGTTCTCAATCAAGAACTCCACGTATAAAAGTGTGTGCCACTGACTGGAATGTCCAAATTCCTTCCCTTTGATCTCTGGTTCCACACCCTTCAGCTCTGGGAGTAACTGCATTCTGTCTGGCTTGGAGGGGTATTCACTTGTATACCTACCTTTCAATCACTCTCTTCTACAGAATCTTTTTCCCTACTGCAGACCACTCCTTTTCATGTCCAGCTCGTTGCTCCATATTGGCCTGGTCCATCTGCTACATCCCTTTGTTCTGCTGGATTGGGATCTCAAAGTAGTCTCTCATGCCCTATTTGGTTCTCCCTCTGAACCCATTGCAACATGTTCCTTGTACCACATTTCCTGGCATGTGGCTGTTATTGTTGTGATATTTATTCCATTAATGTTTCCCACAACCTTTACCATTCCTCCTATGTTATCTTCTATCTGGTTATGCTATCGGGGAGCAGCGATAACTGAATAAATGAATTGGTGGATGGAGGGGGTCCAAGAGGGATATTGTTTTTGTATAGTGTATATATAATAATGTGAAAATTTACATAATGCTAAATCTCATAAATTCAGTAACACCACTAGTTTAACTTAAGTTTGCATCTATTAATTAATAAACTCGTCTTTATACGCATGCCTTATTCACTGTTGGCCCTTGCAAGGATTTTAAATTTTCCTATATTTATGGGTTCATTACATACAGTGCATGTTTCTTAATACTTGAATGTGATATAGATATTAACATTAGCATGTTCTTGTATGCAGCCTATTACCCACATAGTCATGAAACCATTATAACCTAAAGAACATTTAGGATACTTATTTATACCATATTAGAAGTTTTGTATGCAGGTACACAATCCTTATACTTGAAAAAACACTGTAATGTACATACAGGCTTAAATACACATCTCAACTCTACTTGATGACATAGTTTAGTTAACTGATTTCTGATCATAGTTGCATTTCCCAGTATGTTGTAAGACAAAAATATTTTCTATTATCTGCCAGTTAAGTGTTAGGGAAAGACGCTTATTAAAGAAAATAAATAACTTATTTATAACTCCTAGTATAAATGAATCATTTAGTAGAAAGTCTTTAATATATTTTATCTTTTTGTGAAACAGTTATTATTTTTTGGTTAATTCTTCTGTTTGATGAACCAGTATCTTAATCAGATTTTTCTTAAAAGATGATAGTATGTAACTATGAAAGTTAAAATATATCCCTGAGAATTTCTTATTGAAAATTTCACATTCAAATTTACTATCTATATTATGAATGTACAGGTATAAGAATGTAAGTTGATGATTATTTTAGTGTTTAATAGTGAATTTAATATTAGAAATTTGTTAAGGTAGTTTAAAACAATTCCCAACAGCTTATCTGAAGATGATAAAGGTACTGTCTACATACCTTATGTAAAATAATGGCTTCAATTGTGCGGGGCATTCTTCTAACCAAAATTTTTCCTCATGGCATAAAAATATATTGGCAAGTGCTGGGGCTAATCTTGAACCCACAGCAACATCATCTAGTTGGTCATAGATATCATTGTTAAACAGGAAATGGGATTTGTTGGTGTAAAACTTTGTAAGTTTCTGAAACACTTGTGTAGAAAATTTAATTTGATTGTTTTCAATTTGATAAAATAGTTTGATACATAGGATATCCTTAACTTTATAATACAAACCTAGAATATAATTTTCATGTCAATTCTCCCTTCACCCCTAGAAACAAATTTCAATCTGATGTTCTGTGTGTCATAAAACTTTGCCTTCATAACTGAGCTAAAGATATTGATGTAAAGCCTCTACATTGAATATCTTGTACTGCATACAAATATCATTTCAGATGTACTTTCATCTGGCATAGGTCCACTTGTCTGCAAGAGTTGTGTTATTGAGCGAAAGTCCTCATGGACAATAATATGTGGCCGATAAAACTTTAGGTCTGATGGTGCTATTTTTCACTCATATTTTAGTTTAAATCTGCCAAATCAATAAGAATGTGAGGAAAATGTATCTATGGTCAAATGTGAATTTAATGATTTCTTATACTTCACACCTATTTTACACCACCACACTCTTAAAATGTATCTCGTTGATAATGTCTTAAATACAGCATTGAAAATTAATTCATAGCCAGCATAACATTTTTTAGTGATTAGACATAATCTATTGGTATACTGTTTAGCTGAGTAAGATTAATCAAGTTTTTATCTTGAGTTGTAACTAACTTAGAAACTGGGCTTCTTTTTGTTTATAAAATGATAGACGAAATCTTTTTTATAAATTTGTACTAATGTACTGTTACATTTCTCATACATTGTTGTAAAAGATGTTATGCAAGAGCTAATGTTTAACTGTTTTTATAATCGAACAAAGATATTCTGCTATATACTTTTACAAGAACATGCACATATTAATAAATTATTTATTTTGTGCAAAGGATAATATAGGGCAAGATACAGATTCAATGGATTATTCTAACCCAGATCCTGTTCGGATCATTCACAAAGACCAGGATAGTATCACCACATTCTGTGTTAGCAAGGTAGGGTCTTTATTTTCAGTAATTTTATATAATTTAAAATGTATATATATTGATTTTGTTAGCTTTGTTGTATTAAGTTAGAAATTGTCAATATTAGAATATCTTGTCCCATATTCAGTTGAAATGCTCTTCTAACTTTTCAAAAAGATGTATTAATTCTCAACATGGGCTTGGGAGATTTGACCAATCACGTTACCTCTTTGTACACATTTTAAATCTTTATACTTTTGATACTGCTAACTTTTAATATAGTATGTATATCTTCACAAAATGTGGCTTGGAAAACTAATCATTATAAATCGTATTTTTTAGTGAAGTAGTTTTAATAAACTAAAAAAAGATTTGTCCACAAATATATTGAGCATTTTTATTTTTTTACTAGTCTGAGTGCAAAATGATATTCATGTTCAGATTAAAAATACTTTTCTTGATCTCAAAAATCTCAAATTTCATTTGCATAATCTCTAAAACCTCCTAACAACATTTCAAATATTTGTTTTCAGTAAAACTTTATATTTTGTCAATTATTTTCTCTGCCCTGACTCTATACAAGGTTGGTCAATTTTACTGACTTTGTAACAACCAAAAAAAAAATCTAAACAAATCAAAATTACCCTTTCTTTCTTTCTAGAATAACTTCAAATTGTAACATGAAACTACATTTGTTTATCCTAACTAGCTTTAAACTGGTAACAGTATACATCTATTTATACTTAAATTTTGTTGTTTTATTGCCCTTTGAACTGTGTCTAACTACTATTTGCACCATTATAAGTTGTAAATCACTTGGGAAATGTGGAGCTCACATTACTCTATTCAATTACCTTACCCACGAGCTGCTCAAATGCGTGCCTCATGAAACATTTTTATTTTATATTTATTTTACCCAATCTAACCTTAACTGACCTAAAGAGATCCCTTTTTTTACATTTTAGTTACTTTTATAATAATCAAAAAAAGAATTAACATGAAAAACAAGAAATAAGGTACTTACCCAGGTAAATAAAATTATGTAAAGTACTAACAACATCATTGAAAAAACATAGGGCTAACTTTCATTAACATTTCAATATAAAAAGTGCAATACCCACTTTTAAGTACTAAATTTATCTTTTTTATATATATATATTTTTTATAACTAACAGAAAGAGAAAATGTTTTTTGGAGCACAGAGTGTGCGTGTACATACTGTTTAAAGCATACAAACATAAAATTCTTAAGCACAAATTATATAAATATTTCAGAAGTAACACTTTTTCCCACACACAAACACATCTATATTGCATTTTATATGTCTGAGTGGAAATTGTTACAGTCAGAAAGTTATTTACAGATTAATGCTGGGATCATAGCTTTAGCCACTCCTAAGGAAATCCAAGAATTAGATTTTTCTCTCCTGCTGGAACCAACACCATGGTTAGAGGATGAAGCAGAATTTGATATTTTAAATCTTGAAAAGTATGTATGTTTGTATTGACCTCTCTTTTTATGTTATCTTCTGTTAAATAATTGATCTTCAAGTGTAATGTTTCCAGTTAAAACAAATAAATAAAGAAATTCCAGAGGGTAAGCATAAGCCAGGTTTCCATGTTATAATTTATTGAATCCAGTTTAACTAATATATAAAGAAGTGAAAGATGAATCTTGAGTTTTCATTTACCAAAATGTTTGACATTAAGAAATTTTCTCTAGTACTGTTTTTTTCAAAATGTTATATACATTTTTACCTTAAAGAACCCAAGAGCTTCCTGAAAGTGAGTTTTTAGTTGTTCATCATCCTTCTGATCGAGGATCTTCTAGTTGTGGGTATGGTGTGACATCTGGTGCCCCAAATTCAGTTGCAGGTTCTTCTTACAGTAGCCCTACTGGGCCAGCTCCTCCACTGGTAGGAATACAGACTGGTCGTGGTACTTCCATGGTATGTGTATTGTTCCCCTTTCATAGTCTTGTCATTAAATATATGAACATAACTATTCCACTATCTTCATTAGTTTGTTTTCGTTGTGAGTAGATGGGCTCTTAATTGTTCTATACTGGATAAAACTGAAAAATGAAAAGCACTTTTTTAATGTAAAGAGCAGTTAATGGAAAGCACATTTTAGAGTAAAGAGCAATAAGAAAAAATGATGAGGAAAATTCCTTAATAAAGATTTTGTTAGGTTTTTAGAGTTTTGTTCATAGGTCACAGATAACTTGTTCTTATTAAAGAAATCAACTTTATGATTTAGAATATGTATATGAAATGAGAAATGATATCAACATTGTCCTTGCTATCTCTCTGTAATCTTGTTCGAAATATGCGAAATTGCAGGTATGACAATGAAAAAAGCAAAAATTTTAACAGTGAAAATTTTTTTGTAAGCTTGGCTGTGATGTGTGGAGCACAAGGTATTACATGCACACTAATTGTTAGTACACAGTTTGAAACATATGTGGCTTTTATGCTATGTTTGCAGTGAATAATTTGAGAATTATATTGAGGTCTTCTTAACATTTCTTCCATCTTTCAAATGCTTCAGGACATGGTAGAGGAATTTTTTAAGTTATAAACGAAAAATAATAAATTTATATGTTTAAATGTAAAGAAAGTCAAGTAATACTTGATAGATATTACACTTCTCATGATTAGTTTTAACACAGTATTTACCAAATTAAAAAATTATTTGCATATTTCTTTGACAGACATATAATGGTTCATATATGGAGTGTATGAAAGTACAACCCTAATCTTTGGTGAAAGGTTAAATTATGAGAATGTACAAACATACTTCAAGTAAAATCCATTGTGTATGGATTGAATTTGTTGTAAATAAACAGGGACAAAAATAAAGGGTATGGAGTGAAAGAAGAAATATTTAACAAAAAATGCTGATTTGGTTTTGCTAAGTGAATGAAAAAAACAGTTAAAAATAAATAATTTTAACTATAGATAAATCAGTAAAAATATTAAATTTAAAGGGGGGGGGAGAAATAAAGTTCTACCATGAGGTTTAGAACACTAAGTTTTTCATAGGATTTGAAAACATTTTTAATTCTTATTCAGTCAATGAATTTGTCGATTACCGTATTTTTCGGAATATAAGACCCATGGTGTATAAGCCGCACCCTTATTTTGAAGACAAAGTTTTGGGAAAAAAAGCTACAGTTGCATTTGAAAGATTTTTTATTGAACAAAAATTCAATTTGATACTTTAAAAATACCATAAATCAAAAAAAGGTTTACTGTTATTTAGTTTTGTTCAAAACCTACAAAATCTTCATTGCTTTCGCTGTCACTTGGAAAGGAATCATGGGATCCAATATTATGGTCAAAGAGAATGTCATCCTCAGTCCCATCCATTGCGTTACTAATACCACATTTCTTAAATGACTTAATCACTATATAACTTCTTACTTTTTCCCACAAATTCTTCACCCACATGCAGACCTAGGCCTTTGCGTTTCATGAACCGATAACACCACGATGTATGACCAGTAAAATCTTCTAAACTATTATCACATGCAATCCTCTTTGCTTTAAAAATTATCATATTTGTAGAAATGGATAGTCCTTGCCTTCTCTGATCCACAACCCATTCGTAGAGTTTATTTTTGAGATCTTGCCATTTTGTTTTTTTAACTCGGAAATTGCATTTATCACTTTTAATCATTTTCAATTCTTCTTGTTTGCACCAGCAACGAATTATTTTTTTCTGTTGGTGGAGGACCAAAATATTTTTCAGCAGCTCTATTTCCATGCTCTTTTGCATAATTAATCACACTTAATTTCAATTTAGCTGTGTATGACAGTCTCTTCTCTTTAGACATTGTAAGGGGTGAAAAAAAAGAATGAAAAATGAAGAAACAACTATTTTGATCCCGATACCTAAGCTACGGTACTTCGGCTTTTGGTGACTCATCCAACTTGACAGTAAGCATGTGCCAGACTGTCGAGTATCAAATGAAAATTGAAATACTGATTAGATGATTACTGATGCTAATTGCATTAAGAGCTCTGATTGGTCAAGCGCATTGCACATTTGAATCCAAGGCAAGCACTCAAAAACGATTTTTTATTTGTTAAAGTTAGGCTTAAAACAGCCTTATTCTGCTCCACATTAAACAGGGATCGTCGTGTATTTACAAGCTTTTTCACTCTCATCCATTACTATAATTTATCTTTTTATTATTTAGGGAGCATTATAAATAGTTATGTTTTTAAAAGAAAAAAAAACTACTATTGTTATAAATAACACATTCAATTGAACTAAACTATACTTGCCTATTTAAATATATTTACATATGGCTTGTGTATATCCTATATATACATATATATGTTATTCATACCTTCGGTGTATAGGACGCAAGCAGATTTTGACATCAAATTTTGGGGTAATAAAGTGCATCTTATACACCAAAAAATACGGTAATTCAACCCCTTTTTAGTTAGAAATAAGTAATATTTTCTTAAACATCTTTATCACTGCTTACATCTTCAGAAGACAAAACATAGAAGTAATGGTATTCATGCTTATCAAAGAGCCTAACTAGTATGTTTTGTGAGAAAACATTTCTTCTTCCCATCCATTGAGGGTTGAGATACATTCAAATGAAGATTTTCAAAAACCAGTCTGAAAAATGAATTTGTCATTTTTTTATCTATATATAAATAAGATGAAACTACAATTTACAACCCCTCCCACCCACACCAGTGGCTCAGCTGTACATTTGTAGGCTTATAATGCTAAAAACTGGATTTCAATACCTGTGATGAGCACAGCTTAGTTAGCCCTTTGTGTAGCTTTGTGCTTAACAACTTACAAACAAGCAACACAAAACTCTCATGTAAGTGGGTTCTTCATTAGCTGTACCAATTGGATGTGTCACATCCTAGAAAAGATAAATAAAAAATACTCCTTTAAGATGTTATGCAAATTATGACATTTTTAACATTATTCACTAGAGTTGTAGTAGTTTCAAAACAGATGTGGATTTTACATCTGAAACACTTTTAGCACTGAAGAGTTCCTTCAAGGATCATCGCTCGTGTTTCAAACCACAATGTACCAATTAGTAATTTCTTGTGAAGCAAGTTACATATTTTCTGCTTGAAAGCACATGATTAACTTTAAGCTATAGTGAAACATTAAAAGTTCCAAGCTTTTTATAATAATTACACATTTTGTAGGAATGTTAAAATAATGGTCCCCTTCAATCAAAAGAACATTGGTTTAAATTATATGCAATGCTCTCTGTAAAAAGCATCAACAAAATGAAAGAAGTAAAAATTTTCCAAACTTTGTTTCCGCCAGAGACTTGTTTCAAACATACTGATTCCAAGAGCATGTTTCCACTGTGTTGTTTTTTATTCTAATAAAAATAATCTGTGTAAACTTATCTTTGAAAGTTGAGTAGCTGTATACTTTTATTTTATTATTATTATTTCTTGTAATTGTTTTTTGAGTTGTCCTGAATTAGTTTTAAAAATCATTTTAATGTACCACACATCCTTTAGAAATAGTAAAACATGTTAATAACCAGAACTAATAAACTATATTAATAAAGAGTGACCAGGTTTCCCATCCTCAGCATTTTGTTTTCTTTCTCCATTCTAAGTAATATGAATGATATTTGAATTTGAGAAAGAAAGATGTTTTATAATATTTTAGTTTGATAGAAATCTTATGAAATAATTGAGATTCTGACACATGCAGTATTTTGTGTTCAGTTATTGTGTCTGGATGTGGCTGTCCTAACCTTTTCATGTCTATAATATACTTAGCATATGATTATTAAAACTGCCCTTCAACTTCCACCTTCTGTTCAAATTTGTGTATAGTATACCTATTTGTTTTTTATGTGTGTTGTGCCAGTTATTATGTTTTATTGTTTTTACTCTAAAGAGTATCTGAAAATGCAAAACCAGTAAGAAATAAAATTAGTTTAGGAAGGTAGAGAGATACAAGGGTTACAAATACATGTTAACAACCTGAGGTGGAATCTGTTCAATATATGTGTGGGAGTCAACAAAGAGAACTGGAATTTTTCATCAGAGGTACAGGTCTCTCATGAGACAAGACCATTGTATGTGGTGACGTCAGTGCCAGGGCAAAAGAGTGGGAGAATGGCATAGAGAATAGACAGGGAATTGCTTTAGATGATACACTACTAGAGTCAGACTGACTTGTATCAATGATGGCTGGTCAACTAGATTAGCAACAAAACCAGGTGACTCTGACAGTGTCATAGACCTTGCCTTAGTGCCACAGTAAGCAATAACCAATACACAATGGAATGTATTGGGACAGCATGAAAGTTATTGCCTACCAGGTGTTGTGTTAATCAGAAAGTCTGGCAGCCATGAGGCAAAGAAAGCACCACAAGTGTTTACTTACACCATTAGGCAGAATGATGTACCCATCAGATTCCTTCAACAGAATGCGAAGAAAAAGACCAAAGGAAGATGGGTTAGTTAACCACCATGGTAAGATGGAGGAAGTTGAGGAAGCTTGTAGGGAAAACAGGTGCTATACAAAGGTGGCAGAAATTAAGAAAACAACAAACGAGCACAGAAAAACTGGTGAGAAAGGTAAAGAGGGAGAAGAACAGACTAACAGAGGAACTTGAGAGAGACAGTTGAATCTAAGTGGGACAGATGGTAGCAGTTCACCAAAGAGGTAGGGGATGATAAGATGCTGCAAAAATTGTGGCAATTGAATCACAGGATGAATAAAAAAACACACAGGCCACATAGTACCAAACATATGGAATGAAGATGGAGTCATCATGAAGACTGATCATCAAAAGGGTGAAGCCTTCTTGAAATGTTTTATTGAATAGGCAGATCAAGGAGGCTGAGAGATAACATGCATGGTTAGAGAAGGCTTAAGGAGTATGGTAAATCCAGAAGAGTATGATAATATGATTAGTATTGAGCAGGTCAAAGACATTCTCAGGCAAAGTAAGAACAGTGCTTTTGGCCCTATTGGGATCCAGTATCATCACATCAGGGAATTAAATAACAGCAAATTGGGTGAGATTGTGGGAGAATTCACTGACAGTATAAAAAGTTCTACACTTCCAGAAGAATGACTACATAGCTACCTGAAGCCATTGCCTAAACCAAGGAAGGATCACACACAAACGAGTGGCTTCTGCATCATTATGATGCAGAATGTGTATGGAAAACTCATTTGAAATATTATTTCTAGGAGGTTGATGCTTGATTGTGAAGAAAGAGAAATCCTGCCAAAGATTTTTGGTAGTTATAGACCAAAGAAGGACACATGGGTTAATGTAGAAGTCTTTGCCTACAATATGTATAAAGGTTTTAAGAAAAAGTTGTGAAATGGTGGCTGCTTCACTGTACCTGGAAGATGCCTACAGTAGGGGTGAAATATGACTGTTTGATGCAAATCCTGAAGGACTGAAATAGATCTTGATAGTCAATTGGATTTGGAGTAGCACTATTTGAAAAGAAGGTTGCCCTCCATCCACACAGGTATGGGGATATCACAACTGCATACTATGTTGTACCAAGACTGCCTCAGGGATCACCTATCTCTCCTGTCCTATTCAGTATACACAGCGTGGTCACAAGTAAATAGACACCA